CAGCCCCCCTGCCCCTCCCTTGCCTTCTCCCTGCCCCCCACACCCACACTTCTCCTGGATGGTGTTGGGGGGGTAATTGGATTTAATTAGAAATGTAGAATACAGCGGACCCAGCCAGGGGGGCTGGGCGCCGTGGCCCGGGCTGAGTAATAGCCGAACGAGGGCTGATTTACAGAGGGCCAGATGGAGGGTTTGCCCTTGTAGAGCCAATAGTAATGGAGTGTTACAATCCCAGTCTTAAGCACAATGACCGGCCGGGGATAGATCGATCATTCGTACAGCCGGGCTCGAGGCAGCCGGGACCTGGGGGGAGGGCGATGGAAGCCGCAGCTCAGGGGCGGGGGAGAGGGGACAGCGGCGGAGGGCAGGGGGGTGGCATTGGCACTGGGGTCCTGGCAGCAGGTGGATGGGGTGCTGGAGCAAGGGAAGCACCCAGACCTGCTCCCTCCATCCTGGATTTTCCTACCCCCACAGCCAGGGCCTGCCCTCGTGCCTCAGTTGACCCGTGCCAGGACGACACCGCTGGGCATCAAGCCTGAGCCTGACACCTCCGGGCTTGGCTGCCTTGAAGCTAAACAGGAGCAGGTGGGGTCTGTCCCTGGTTGGGAGATGCCCTTGCCCAGAGCCGTTGGGGGTCCAGCTCCACGTGGCTTGGGCAGGGCCTCTCTCAGGAACCTGGGATGCAATCCCGCTCCACCCCAGAGGTGGTCGCATCATTGTGACGGCTGAAGCAATGCTGGAGACGGCTCTCGGCCTGCCGGGCCTCTCTATGCAAGGTGGGTGTCAGGCGACCCCATCCCACCCAACTGCATTATTTTCATAGACATTTCATAGACATCAGGGCTGGAAGGGGCCGCGGAAGATCATCGAGTCCAGCCCCCCGCCCAAAGGGCAGGAAGTCAGCTGGGGTCATAGGATCCCAGCAAGATAAGCATCCAGTTTCATCTTGAAGGTGTTCAATGAAGGCGCTTGAACCACCTCCGGCGGCAGGCTGTTCCAGACCTTGGGGGCTCGGACAGTAAAGAAGTTCTTCCTTATGTCCAGCCTGAAACGATCTTGAAGTAGTTTGTGACCATTCGACCCCGTCATCCCTTGGGGCGCTCTGGTGAACAAACCAGAGCACCAGAGGTGCCATTATGTGCTACTACGTGGGGCAGTGACCCCCACATCCAGGCTTGGTGCATCTCTGAGGCTCGAGCCACGGAGGGGAGAGGGGGCCCGGCTCCGGGAGGAAACGGGCTCTAAACAGCACAATATACGATGTCGTCAGAGCCCCGTGACACCCCCATCTGTCAGCAGCACCGAGAAATATTTTGCCGGGGCGATGAGAAAGCTTTTCTAATGAGGGGCGATCGATAGCACGCGCCAGGCCATCCATCAGGCCTGCTCCTGCTCCTGCCCGCTGTGGGCTCCTGCACATGCCTGCTGGAGTCCGGGGGGTGGAGGACAAGGGATGCCCGTGCACCCCAGGCACCGGTGGCGAGACCCCTCTGGAAATTGCAGCCTCCCTCCTGGCATGGGGCAAAGGGGCCTGGGCGGGGATGAGATGGATGGGGCTGGCACAGATTCCATTACGGCCGGAGCCGGGCTCTGGGCTTAAACAAACAGGGCTGTAAATCAGCCCTCCAAGGAGCTGGGGAAATATGGCTGCAGTCTGGAGCTGTCACAGGCCCTGGAGGATGGCACAGCCCCAGCCTCCCAGTGCCACCTCCCCCCCTTCCCTTGTCTCAGGCTGGGGGTGAGGGTCTGCAGTCTCAATGCTAGAGCCAGGGCAGGGTCCCCTCCAGCATTCAGCCCCTGGCACCTGCAGCGAGACATCGTCCTGCACAGGGACCCCAAAGCAGAGCCATCGCTGCTGTTTTACAGAGCAGGGGAAACTGAGGCATGGAGGGGGGCACCGCAATGGAGGCAGGGGGGCCGTGTGGGGGAAGGACACTGCAGGAGGGGGGGTTGCTGCCCACAGCCAGGCCCCAGCTTTGGGGGTAGGGCAGGTGAGAATGCCACAGGGCCAAGGAAGGGTTAACCCCTGGGAAAGGGGGGCTGGCAAGGGGCCACATGCCCCCCCAGCCCATTTGCTGCCCCCCACCCCCCAGCTTCACGGTGGTCCCAGGGAAACCCAGAAGGCATTTGCCCAGGTGCCATTTGCAACCACCACTGTTCCAGGACAGGCGAGCACCATGCCCATGCCCGTTGGCTGCTTGTATCTCCATCTGGGGCTGCCCGCTGCCCCCGGACAGCTGTTGGCTGGGGCAGCCAGGCTGGGGTGCCTGCTGCCCCCCACAGCACCCCGGGACCCCTCCTTGAATGCCCCCCAGCCTCTGGCAGCCCCCGTCCATCTCCCTCAGCCGGTCCTTGCTTTCAGTCTCCAGCGCCTCAGCCATTAGCAGGGAGGGCTCCATCAATCACCCACCCATATTAACCGTCGT